TTTATATATTTTAGATATCAGTCCATTATTAAATGATTTACAGTTTATTCTCCCACTCTGTCGGTTGTCTTTTCACATTTGTGGTTGTGTTTTTGAAACGCAAAAGTTTGAAATTTTGATAATATCGTTTATTTTCTTTGTTGCTTATGTTTTTGGTGGCATAGCTAAGAAACTATTGACTCACCAAGATTATGAAGACTTAAACCTAATGTGTTTTCTTTTAAGAGTTTTATAGTTTTAGCTCTTAAATTTAGGTCTTTGATCCATTCTGAGTTCATTTTTGTACATGATGTGCAGTAGGATCCAACTTCATTCTTTAGTAGGAGGGTATTCAGTTGTCCCAATACCATCTGTTGAGAAGACTCTTCTTTCCCCATTGAATTATCCCAGCACCCTTATCCAAATCATTTGACTCTAAATATGAGGGTTAATTTCTGGATTTTGTTCTTTTTTTTTTGAGATGGAATTTCGCTCTTGTTACCCAGGCTGGAGTGCAATGGCGCAATCTCGGCTCACCGCAACCTCCGCCTCCTGGGTTCAGGCAATTCTCCTGCCTCAGCCTCCTGACTAGGTGGGACTACAGGCACGCGCCACCATGCCCAGCTAATTTTTTGTATTTTTAGTAGAGATGGGGTTTCACCATGTTGGCCGGGATGGTCTTGATCCCTTGACCTCGTGATCCACCCGCCTCGGCCTCCCAAAGTGCTGGGATTACAGGCGTGAGCCACCGCGCCCGGCCTGTTCTTTTTTAAAAACTATTTTTGTGTGTGTGAGGGTTAATTTCTGGATTTTTTTTTTTTTTTTTGAGACGGAGCGGCGCTCTGTCCCCCATGCTGGAGTGCAGTGGCGTGATCTCAGCTCACTGCAACCTCCACCTCCCAGGTTCCAGCGATTCTCCTGCCTCAGCCTCCCAAGTAGCTGGGATTAAAGGCTCATGCCACCACACCTGGCTAATTTTTGTATTTTTTCTTTTTAGTAGAGACGGGGTTTTGCCAAGTTGGCCAGGCTGGTCTTGAACTCCTGATTTTAAGTGATCCGCCTGCCTTGGTCTCTTAAAGTGCTGGGAATACAGGAGTGAGCTACTTCGCCTAGCCTGGATTCTTAATTCTATTCTATTTATCTATATGTCTATCCATATTCTATTAATACACAGTCCTGATAATTATAGCTTTGCAGTAAATTTTGAAATTGGAAAGTATGAATTCTCCAACTTTGTTATTCTTTGTCAAAATTGCTTTTGCTAGTCTAAGTCTTTTTGAATTTCTATATACATTTCAAGAACAGCTTGTCAATTTCTACAAAAAAGTCAACTAGAATTTTGATAGGGATTGTGTCTTTATCAGCATTATGAAAATGGACTAATATAATTAGTTTTCCACATGTTAAATTTCTTCAAAGGATTTTACTTTTGATATCTTCATAAATGGAATTATTTTCTTAATTTCATTTTGTTTGCTCATTGCTAGTGCATAGAAAAATAATTAAGGCTGGGTACGGTGACTCATGCCTGTAATTCCAGCACTTTGGGAGACTGAGGTAGGAAAATCACTTGAGCCCAGGACTTTGAGACCAGCCTGGGCAACACAGCAGGACCTCATCTCTACTAATAACTTAAAAAATTAGTCAGGCATAGTGGCAAGCTCATTGTGGTCTCAGCTACCCAGGAGGCTGAATTGGGAGGATCACTTGAGCCTGGGTGGTTGAGGCTGCAATGAGCTGAGATCTTAGCAGTGCACTCCAGCCAGGGCAACAGAGCAAGACCTCATCTCAAAAAGAGAAAAACAATTTCTTTTTTTTTTTTTTAAATATGGGGTTTCACCATATTGGTCACTCAAACTCCTAACCTCAGATGATCCACCCACCTCAGCCTCCCCAAAGAGCTGGGATTACAGGTGTGAGCCACCGTACCCGGCAACAATTGCTTTTTTAACATTGATATTATATTCTGAATCCTTGCTGAAACTCATTTATTTGTTCTAATCACTATAACTACTAGTTCTAATAGTTTAACATGACAACATCTGCAGTTATCATCCTTCTTTCCAATCTGAATTCCTTTTATTTCTTCTTCTTGTGTAACTGTGCTGAATAGAATCTTCAGCACAATGCTGAATAGGATAGTGAAAGTGGACAACCTTTTCTTTCTTTCCTGATATTCAGTCTTTCACCATTAAGTATGATGTTAGCTTTGAGTTTTTCATAGATGCGCTTTATCAGGTTGAGGAAACTCCTTCTGTTCCTAGTTTGTTGAGTGTTTTTGTCATGAAGGGGTGTTGAATTTTGTCAATTGTTTTTATGTGTCTATTGAGGTTATCATAGGATTTTTGTTCTTTATTTTATTGAGGTGGTGTATTTCATTAATTCATTTTCAGAAGTTAAGCCAATCCTATATTCCTGGGATAAACCCCACTTGGTCATCATGTATAACCATTTTTATATACTACTGGATTGGATTTACGTATATTTTGATGAGGACTTTTTTTTTTTTCTTTTTGGAGACAACGTCTCACTCTGTTACCCAGGCTGGAGTACAGTGTTCATAATCATGGCTAACTGTAGCCTCAACTTCCCAGGCTTGAGCAGTCCTCCCACCTCAGACTCCCAGGTAGCTGGGACTACAGGCATGCACCACCATGCCTGGCTAATTTTTTCTAGTGTTTGTAGAGATGAGGGGGTCGCACTATGTTGCTTAGGCTGGTCTTGAACTCCTGTGCTCAAACAATCCTCCCATCTCAAGTTTCCCAAAGTGCTGGGATTAAAGGTGTGAGCCACCATACCTGGCTTTTTTTTTTTTTTTTTTTTTTTTTAAGACAGAGGCTCATTCTGTTGCAGGGCTAGAGTGCAGTGGCAGGACCCTGTCTCATATTGCAACCTCTGCTTCCCAGGTTCAAGCGATTCTCATGCCTCAGCCTCCTGAGTAGCTGGGATTACAGGTGCATGCCAGGCTAAAAAAAAATTATCTCACAGTTCCAGAAGCCACACCTTTTGTTTTGTTTTTTGAGACAGAGTCTTGCTCTATCACCCAGGCTGGAGTGCAGTGGCATGATCTCGGCTCACTGCAACCTCCGCCTCCCAGGTTCAAGCAATTCTCGAGCCTCAGCCTCCTGAGTAGCTGGGATTCCAGGCGTGCGCCACCACACCTGGCTAATTTTTACAGGGTTTCACCATGGTGCCCAGGCTAGTCTTGAACTTCTGAGCTCAGGCAATCTCTGAGCTCAGGTAATCCCTCAAAGTGCTGGAATTACAGACACAAGCCACAGCATCCAGCTACGTTTTGGTTTTTTTTTTTTTTTTTTTTTTTGCATTTACATCCACTATATAGTGGTGAATAGGCACAACAGTAGAGAATAAATAAAACCAGGGAAGGTTTGATATTACAGAACAGGATGTAGTATTGGGGCAGGAGGAAGAGTAAGAAATTGAGTGAGACTGATGCTGGATGGAAGACGGGACAATTTTTAATCCTTTATTTTACTATGGTTCTGTTTATTCTATTCTATTGATTCATTTTCACATGTTAAAACAACTTTGTATTCCAGAGAATCAGAGAATGGGTAACCAGCTGTATATAACTCTGATTTATTCCTAAATTTTTGAAGGGAGAATTTAGTTATTAGAGGACAATAGGGCCAACTATATTATTTCTGCAGAGACACTACCATGACAAACAGCAAAAGTAATGTCCAACAATTATTAAGCATGTACTCAACATGAAATGGACCCCTGACTTCAAACACTGTATTCACTCTTCTATCCAGGTCATGACCATATTCAACTGTATTCTAATAAACTGTATTACTGCATGTATAATGACGAAGTCTCAGCTGTTTCCTTAACAAACAGCTTATATGCTCATGAACATATCAATATTCTGATTTCACTGACATGCTAATAAGTTTCCTGTGACTGCTGTAACAAACTGATGACTTAAAACAACAGAAATACATCCTCTTGGTTGGACACGGTGGCTCACACCTGTAATCCCAGGACTTTGGGAGGCCGAGGCAGGTGGAACACCTGAGGTCAGGAGTTCAAGACCAGCCCAACAAACATGGAGAAACTCAGTCTCTACTAACAATACAAAAATTAGCTGAGTGTGGTGGTGCATCCTGTAATCACAGCTACTCGGAAGGTGGAGGTGGGAGAATTGCTTGAACATGGAAGGCGAAGGTTTGCAGTGAGCAGAGATCACACCATTGCACTCCAGCCTGGACAACAAGAGCCAAAACTGGATCTCAAGAAAAAAAAAAAAATTATCTCACAGTTCCAGAAGCCAGAAATACAACCCACCTGTTGGCTCTAAGGGAGAATCTCTTCCAGCTTGTAGGGGCTGCATTACTCCAAACATTTTTGTTTTGTTTTTTGACACGAAATCTTGCTCTGTCGCCCAGGCTAGAGTGCACTGGCACGATCTAGGCTCAGTGTAACCTCCACCTCTCAGGTTCAAGCAATTCTCCTGCCTCAGCCTCCTGAGTAGCTAGGATTACAGGTATGTGCCACCACACCCAGATTATTTTTTATATTTTTGGTAGAGACAGGGTTTTACCATGCTGGCCAGGCTTGTGAACTCCTGACCTCAAGTGATCCACCTGCCTAGGCCTCCCAAAGTGCTGGGATTACAGGTGTGACCCACTGTACCAGGCCCCAACCTGCCTTTGAGGTCATAATAACCCCTCCTTTTCTGTCTCAAATTTCCCTCTGCCTTTCTCTTGTAAGGACACTTTTCATTGGACTTAGGGTCCACCCAAATAATTCAGGATGATCTCCTTATCTCCATATCCTTAATTATATCTGCAAAGACCCCTTTTCCAAATAAGTCAACATTCACATGTTCTAGGAATTAGGACATGGACCTATCTTTTGAGGGAACACTGTTCGACCCACTACAATAGATTCTGAATAAGCTACCAATGTGAAAACAACAGTGTTTTCACTTGAGTAAAAAGTCATACTGGAAGGAAAATATACCATGGCATTATAGACAACAGAAAAAAACCAAACCCTTTAAAACACATATATTTAATGTACAGAACTAGAAAAAGGACTTCTTGATAATAAACATATTTCATGTATATATAAGCTTTCTATATCTATGAATATTTCATTAAAATACACCTAAGTTACTTCTTCTCTATATAAAGGAGAAACTCCAAGTCCTGCTCTTTACAAAGACATGGAGGGCAAGCATTACCTTAGAAGAAACCACTGCTATTTCTCCCATTTCCTTGGGTGACCTAACATTTTACAAGGACTAATTACATAAAGAAATATTAGATTCCATTGAGTTTAAATACAAGACACAGCTAAAATTTCCCACTGAGGGCATTAAATATTTGATGCTTATAAGTGTGAATAATTAATTACATATAAGACAGATTCCAAAACCAAATGCAGTATGAAAAGAAATTGGCATAAATACCTAACAGTAAAATGAAATTTCACTACTAGGTATGCTAATATGTTTCCTTTTCTAGTTCAGTGGGCTCTGCATTTTTTAATCTAAGGTCTTCTGCTTAACAGAATAGAATACTGCTTAACAGCACCAGGGTTTTTGTCAGGGGAAGGATTTATTTTAGAAACAAAACCAACTTCTTTCTTTCTTTTTTTTTTTTTTTTTTAAAGACAGGGCTTCACCATGTTGGTCAGGCTGGTCTTGAACTCCCGACCTCAGGTCATCCGCCCGCCTTGGCCTCCAAAGTGCTTGGATTACAGGCGTGAGCCACCGCGCCCGGCCCAACTTCTTTCTTCTTTATTAAAGATCAAGGTTGTCTTTTTTGCTACATGCTTCTTTCAACTATATATTGACTCCCTCATGTAAGAAAATTTACAGAGCAAAACAAGTACTCTGTGTTGGCTGTCCCGCAGTGTAAAGACTGGTTAATAAAAGAGCCACTCAGCTTGGGCTATATAGTGAAGCATCATCTCTACAAAAAAAATTTTTTTAATTAGCAAAGCATGGTGGCACAGACCCTCCTGGGAGGCTGAGGCAGGAGGATCACTTGAGCCCGGGACACAGGGATTGCAGTGAACCAAGATTGCACCACTGCACTCTACTCCAACTTGGGTAACAGAATGGGACCCTGTCTCAAAAAAATAATAAAAGAGCCACCAGTTCAATCCCTTTCTCACCTGGTCTCATCCAAAAAATAAGTCAAAATAATCAAGGTCACAAAGAACTTACGACCAGTATATAACTCTGCTAATAATCTTTAACTGGCCATGGCTTCATTTGTTTGATCCCTTCCTACTTTTAAGATTCTAAGGAACAGATGCTTCAGCCTAGTTCAAAGCAGTACACACATACCTCAGGAAAGTGGACCAAAAAAGAGGAAGACACAGAATGCAACAGAGTTGACAAAGCAAATCTAAAAAAAGTATGGTTGGTTTGAACAGTCACTGGTATAAATTCCTTGTGATTCTACTTTTTGACAGACTCCTCCTTTTGACTATTCAGCAACTAAGATATTTTCAATCGTTTCGATTCCTTTTCCACATTGTCTCTAATGTTTTGAAGTTTTCTGGAGTTGTGAACCAGGGACACTAAACTCCCCCTAAAATCACTAGTCCCATGATCTCTGCCAGCAATTTGAAGCTCATCAAAGAAAGTCAATGTCTGTTTGAGTTTGGCCTGAACAATTTTTTGCTCTTCTAATTCTGCAAGAAGGGCCTGCTTAGTACATAATTCAGTCTTATACTTCTCCTGTAACTGTTCAATTTCTTTCTGGAGATGCTGAAAATCTTCCTCACTATAAGGTGTCTCCTTACATTTATCTTCAGGAAGCAAGATGTTTGAGGGAATACGTAAAATCAGCTGCAAAAACAGTTCCTCCATTTTGCTAAAAAGGTTATCAAAACGTCCTTTCATGAAGCAAAGAAACTTTTCTGTGCATTTGCGAATCTGCACTGGGCTAAGGTCACAGTCTGGGATGCCATCCAGCTTCTTCAGAATAACCTGTTCAACGGCCTGCATCACTTCAAATAGGTAGTCTTGAAATGCAATGTAGATCCGAAGCATGCATGTTTGTGGCGTGAAGCCAAAAAACTGGGCCTCATAGGTCATTGGATCCACAGACATCTTGGCTTATTTTGCTATGTTATTTTCAATTGTGAAAAATCTGCAAATGGAAAAATAAAATAATTCACTTGGAAAAAAAAAAATCTTCTGCGGGAAGTAACATATCACAACAAGGAAGCAAATAAAAAGAGTTTTTGTTCCTTTATGCCTGATGCCACTTCCACAACAGGATATAAATTCTTGCCTCTCTGAGGCTCCTTCCATTAGCCTATACCCTCTCTTTTCCCCTCCTCATTGTTCATTTTCCTTACCTGTGACTTTGGCACAGACCAGTCTTCTGAATTGTTATCATCCTAGACAACTTTGAAGTCTAGACAGCTGGCTTAACCAATGCCCTAGAGACTTAGTTTCTTGAGATTCAATGATCTGCACCTCCACTTCTGAGCCAACTGGCTCTTGATATTTGTAACTACTCTTCCAAACTGCTCCTACTTTTTCACCACTACCTCGTACAATTCTTTCAACTCTTACTCACAGACTCACATTATACCCTAATCTTCAAGATTTACAGCCCCTAACCCTCTCTTTCTTGTTCTCAGCCTTTCCCACTTCACTTCTTTTCCCTATTCATTTTAGGCCCCATGACCTATCATTTTGATCACTTCATTGCCAATGTCTTCAATTTGCTTGTCCTCCAGACAAGCCACCTGAAAAAAACGCAATTAGAAGATGAACAAGTCCCTTGTCAGCTTTATAACCCTGCATGTTTTTTCAAGGGTCTGGGAGTAATTCCTCTCAAATATAAACATCTAGGAAAATAAAACGCTTATCTCCTTGTCATTGTGGGAGTTCAACCTAGGCATCTTTTCCTGAGATGAAATGATATGCTTGTCATAGAGAAAAGAGAAGTTTTATTATTCCTTCAGATAAACACAATTAGCTAAAATAAACTGCTACTTCAAATATCAGGTGAATTGAGGATGCACTTTATGAAATAATTTGCAGTAAGCAGTGCAGTCAAATCTTATGGGAAGACAAAATGCTGCTAATCTTAACAGTTTATGTTTGTAGGCCGAGTACAATAGCTCATGCCTGTAATCCCAGCACTTTGGGAGGCCAAGACGGGCAGATCACCTGCCAGGAGTTCAACACCAGCCTGGCCAACATGGTGAAACCTCATCTCTACTAAAAATACAAAAATAAGCTGGGCATGATAGTGCCCACCTGTAGTCCCAGCTACTTGGGAGGCTGAGGTGGGATAATCACTTGAACCTGGAAAGCGGAGGTTGCAGTGAACCAAGATCGACTGTTGCACTCCAGCCTAGGCAACAGAGCAAGACTCCATCTCAAAAAAAAAAAGGAAAGAAAAGAAACTGTCTCGCTGTTGCAGAGGCTGGACTTGAACTCCTGGACTAAAGAGGTCCTCCTGCCTTAGCAGTAGCTGGACTACAGGTGTGCACCACCCTGCCTGGCTTAAACCATGAGTTGTTTTATCAACAGGTTGTCAGGGTGATATTTGGGTGACATTTCTCCTTCTGCCAATTATTCTTATCTTTTTAAGTTTTTGTTATTATTTTTTTTGAGATGGAGCTTCACTCTGTCACCCAGGCTGGAGTGCAATGGCGCAATCTCTGCTCACTGCAACGTCCTCCTCCTGGGTTCAAGTGATTCTCCTGTCTCAGGCTCCTGAGTAGTTGGGATTACAGGCGCGCGCCACTACGCCCGGCTAATTTTTTGTATTTTTTTTGGAGATGGAATCTTGCTCTGTCACCCAGGCTGAAATGCAGTGGCACGATCTTGGCTCACTGCAACCTCTGCCTCCCGGGTTCAAACAATTCTCCTGCCTCAGCCTCCTAAGTAGCTGGAATTACAGGCATCCACCACCACACCCGGCTAATTTTTTGTATTTTTAGTAGAGGTGGGGTTTCACTGTGTTAGCCAGGATAGTTTTGATCTCCGGACCTCGTGAAACACCTGCCTCATCCTCCCCAAAGTGCTGGGATAACAGGCGTGAGCCGGCGCGCCTGGCCATTCACATCCTTTTTAAAATACCACTCTTTTCAGCCTACCTTATAAACTACCAGACTTGATGGTCACTCCCATCATTCCAAAAATCTTTAGTGCTTCCTCATAACGCATGAATAAAGCATGATGCTAACCTCTCCTACCATGAACTGGCTACTCTGCTCCAACCAAACCAGTTATTTTCTTTCCCTCAAGGAGGGATGCCTGAGCTAAATGTCACTCAACATTGAAATACACTTCCTTGGCCGCGCTCGGTGGCTCACGCCTGTAATCCCAGCACTTTGGGAGGCCAAGTGGATCACTTGAAGTCAGGAGATCGAGACCAGCCTGGCCAAGATGATGGAACCCCTTTCTCTGCTAAAAATACAGAAATCAGCCAGCATGGTGACAGGTGCCTGTAAACCCAGCTACTCGGGAGGCTGAAGCAGGAGAATCTCTCAAAGTTGCAGTGAGTCGAGATCGCCCCATTGCACTGTGCACTCCAGTCTAGGCGACAGAGTGAGACTCTATCTCAAATAACAAAAAAATACACTTCCTTGATTAAATCCTTCCTTTGCATTCCCATTAGGACCTCTCTTCGGGCACTGACAGATAAACTACCGCCTCATCTTCTCTGCTAGACTTGGATTTCCTAGTAGAGAAATGAGTGCGGCCTCATCATTTGCCGATTCCACGCCTAAGTGCCCAGGCCATCTCGGCGAACTGAGCCAAGAGCCCAAGATTGCGCTGAACAGGACCCAGAAGGAAAGGCCCAGGAACTGCTTCCGGCCGGCTCCGGGCTCCCGTCGGGCCCCGCGCCCGCGCTGCATGCCGGGACCTTCGGTTCGGAACCGGCGGCGAGGCCTACCCAGCAGGCTGCCGCGCTCCTCAGCGATGACGCCTAAACTAGTCCCGCCAGTACCCGCTCCTCAGGAAAAATGCTGCTCCGCAGCACTTACTGGAGCGACCATGAGGGTGACGAATTCGAGCACACAGGCTTCCCGCCACCTCCTCTAAACCGCCGCTGGCATGCCAAGGACAGACGGAGCGGTTGGGTCCCCAAAATTCCGACTGATACGCGCCTCGGCGAACGAAAGCAAACGCGGGATGCTCTCGCTCTCCTGATTGGCTGGTTGGGGACATCTCAATTACTGACAGAAAGGGGCCGGGCGGGAAAGTTAGCTGTGGCCGGCGGGGATTGGCAGAAGGAACCGATACTTACTCGTTTCTCCCGGACGTTGGCTGGTGGAGAAGCCAGGCTGGGGCGCTGAGGCGCTGGGGCATTGAGGCGAAGCAACTCGTGATTGGCGGGTGTGCCTTACTTAGGGCTCTACGATTGGTGGCTGGCCGGTTGCTTGGCGCTGATTGGGCAGCCACAGGAAGGCTTAGTGGGGAGGGGCGGGGGTGCTTTGGGCCCGCCCCGCCGCCGGGATCTGCTGGCGGAAGGGGAAGTGGGAGGGCGGGCGACGGTGGGGAAGATGGCGTATCAGAGCCTGCGGCTGGAATACCTGCAGATCCCACCGGTCAGCCGCGCCTACACCACTGCCTGCGTCCTCACCACCGCAGCCGTGGTGAGCAGCCTCAGCGCCACCTTCCCGTTATCTGGGCTGGATATGACTGGGTCTTCAGGAAACTGGGGTTTGGACGTTGGGGAAGTCCAAAGGGGCTGGTCCCGGTGATGGGTGGAGGCATACAGGGATTATTCTGGGGTTCGAGTTGGCGCCGAGAAAGCGTATCCAGTGACCTGAGAAGGGAGTGCTGCTTCATCGGGGATCTGGTCAGTTTCTCAGAGATGAGGGCCGGACCTGTAGTGGGTTAGGGTTGCGGGAGCCTCCCACCCAAGAAATGTGTCCGAGAGCTCTGGTGATGGCCAGGTGGTACCGTGGTGAGTAGTGAGAGGAAGGTCCGCTTAGGGAAGAAACAGGAATGAGGAAAGCAAGCTGGAAACTGTCGAGAGGGGAACAGCTTATAATAAAGAGGTCTTTGGATAATAAGGGGCTGGCTGGAGGTACCCAGCCCTAATGGTGGCAGGGTCTCGAGTCTCCGTTATTTCAATTGAGTTTTGTTGTTTGACACAGCTGTTCCAGGTGGTGCCCATGTGGTGGGGTAGTCATAGCAGCTGTTTTTACTTGTCCTGTGTCTAAAATATCACCACCTGTCTGCCTCTCATTTCTTCATGTCAGCCTCAACTATTGCAACATACAACAAACTTTTTGTTAGGTAGTGAGAATACAAAGAATTCTACCAATTCTAGAGATTTCTTTACCAACCTTTTCCTCTGGCCTAAGAAGAAAGGCTTAAAGGAAATCAGTCTAAGTGACTGATAGTTGGAAATTGCTAGACCTACTAATCCTTTGTTGTAAATGATGAAATTTTGTCTCTTGGTTGATTTGCTTTAAGAAGCTCTTTTTCTATTTCAGCAGTTGGAATTGATCACACCTTTTCAGTTGTACTTCAATCCTGAATTAATCTTTAAACACTTTCAAGTAAGTGGTTCATCACAATAGTGATTAATGCTTCAGTTTATTCCTTTTCTTACAGTTTAGTAGCAAATCCTGTTACATACTAGCCTAAAAAAGAACCCAGTGGGGACCTTTGATTATAATTGCTTTGTCAGGATATAAAGCAGTGATTCTGCAACCTGGTTGGACTTGAGAATCCCTTAGGGAACTTTGAAGAGATTCTCAAATTCCTCAACAAATACCAAGTCAGAATTTGCAAGGGTAGGAATTAAAATCTATGTTTTATTTTTAAAAGTTCCCTGCATCGTTTTGATATGCCCAATTCCTGTAGTTGGATATCACTGGTTTAGAGTTAATGTTGTAGTTTGAGAGGAGACTGACCAGGTGGCTGCTTAGGGGTTGTCTCAAAGGGATGGCCTTATTTTGTCCATTCACCACCTAGGCACACCCACCACCTTGGTGTTATCACCATGGTCCAGAAACTCAGTTCTGTTAGTACTTTTAAATTGTGATCTGTCTTGCAGGGATCAGATCATATTAACAAAATTCCAAAAGACCAACATCTAAAGCAACATGGTGGTTTATTAGATTACAGTGGGAGATAGTCCTCTCCAGTGATTAAAATGCTAACAGCAGCCAGGCGTGGTGGCTCACGCCTGTAATCCCAGCACTTTGGGAGACTGAGGCAGGCAGATCACCAGAAGTCGGGAGTTTGAGACCAGCCTAGTCAACATGGTGAAACCCCGACTCTACGAAAAATACAAAAATTAGCCAGGCCTAGTGATGCATGCCTGTAATCCTAGCTACTGGGGAAGCTGAGACAGGAGAATCACTTGAAGCCGGGAGATGGAGGTTGCAGTGAGCAGAGATTGTGCCATTGCACTCCAGCCCGGGAGATGAGCAAAACTCTGTCTCAAAATAAAATGCTAAAAGAGAGATGGTATTTCCTGTTCCAGGATGATATTACAGACCATAGTTGGAGTAGGGGAGAGACCCAAAAGCCAATAATTGTGCCTCTACCCATGCTGTACCCTCTGTCTCAAATGTGTTTCATTCACTTTATACCTGTTGAGCTCTAGCTTGCCTTTCAAAATGCAGCTTTTGTGTAACCTTTATGTACTCATCCTCCTTTGTTTTAGAGCATCTCTCACCTTTACTTTGCAGTTATTTATATGCTTGTCTCCTCACTAGGATGAGGGCTCTAAAATCTGGATAATTGATATGTAGAACTAATTGTTTCAACATTAATAGTTACCAGTTCTCAAGAATTTAGTGATTTGTAAAGCAGTCCTGTCATCTCTTGTCACTGTGTTCCCACAATACTCACATGGAGCTGTAGTTCCATCCAAGTAAGTCTTACTTCCTACTTGGCTTGCTTGGCTTTACTTTGCCTGGGGTTAAACTCTTGATGACACTGTGCATTTGGAGTTAGGAGTTCCAGATTTGCCAGCAGAGTCTCCCTCTACAACCTGTGGGTCCTTGGTCAGGACATTTAAAAGTTCACCTTTTAGTTGAATAACTAGCTAGTTACTCAGTCAGTTTCAGTAAGTCTTTTAGTTTCCTATCTGTGAAATGGGGGTAGCCTGCTTGTCTCATAGGATTATTAAGATCACAAGAGGTAGTAGAAATTTTTAAATGTTAAAAATACTCTACCATTGTGAGTGGATACTGTGGGTGTGGAGATGTTGGGCAGGGAAGGCTGTATCAGAGTTTCCAACAAGAAAATGAGTGTTTAGCCGGGCACAGTGGCTCACGCCTATAATCCCAGCACTTTGCGGGGCCAAGGTGGACGGATCATTTGAGGTCAGGAGTTTAAGACTAGCCTGGCCAACATGGTGAAACCCTACCTCTACTAAAAATACAAAAATTAGCCAGGTCTGGTGACACCTGTAACAGCTACTCAGGAAGCTGAGGTAGGAGAATCATTTGAATCTGGGAGGCAGAGGTTGCTATAAGCCAAGATCATGCCACTGCACTCCAGATGGGGCGACAGAGCAAGACTCTGTCTCAAAAAAAAAAAAAAAGAAAAGAAAATGAGTGTTCTTTATCTCCCAAGTAGACTATAATTATTATAGCATTCATTCTTGCAGGGAGTTGGCCATTTGTTCAGACTAGAACTTGGGTTTTTTCTTTAGAATTTTCCTTTCTGGCCAGGTGCAGTGGCTCAGGCCTATAATCCCAAAACTTTGGGGAGGCCAAGGTGGATAATCCCTTGAGGCCAGGAGTTTGAGTCAGCTTGGGCAACATAGTGAGAACCTGTCTCTGTTTTTAAAAAATGGTTTTTTTTTCCTCTTTATAGATTACTCAGTCTTGGATACGTTAAAAATTTTTTAATTAAAAAAGAATTTTCTTTGAGATGTTTCTGACTGCCTAATGTAAACATTTCTCAGCAATTTATATTAGACCCTGAAGTTTTTCTCTGGTATGTCAGATCTATTTATTATATGATAATACTACATATGAAAGCACTGTTTTCTGTTCAGCAAATTAACCTAGTCTTTCTACCAAACTTTCTCCATAAGACAATCACAATTTAAAATTTTCTGTGCTATTGTAAATCTCACAGTCCCAATGATGTCTTTCAAACTTTTAACTAAAAGCAGCAAAAATCTAACATCGGATTATATGCCCTCATTTTGTTTCAGAACAGAATATCACTCTGTCCAAGGCTTCTCAACCATCATAGTCATAGGATGTGTCTTTTGTATTCATATGGAACTGTTTCCTGGTAATTTATTTGACTTAATATATCTTTCTCTTGATTTTTTTTAAACAGATATGGAGATTAATCACCAATTTCTTATTTTTTGGGCCAGTTGGATTCAATTTTTTATTTAACATGATTTTTCTGTATCCTTTATTAAATGGGGTCAGCATCAAAACTTTGTTTTCTTAGGAAGTAAAAGATTAAGTTGAAACTTTTAATCCTGTTATTTGTTTCTGGTACCATCTTAGCTATAATTTCTGGATCAGTGGAACATAAAGTAGTTGGTTAGGTAGTAATGTTTTGAAAAGGTTTGTAGGTCACTGTTCAAATGAGAGGTTTTAACCATAAAAAGATACCACTTCTACTTTTTAGTTGCTTACAAATCTGATCAAGGGAGGGGAGAAGTGATTTAACTGAGATATATTTCCACAGTGACATCAACAGGTACAAAGTGGTAAAACAACCTGAATACAATGATAATTTAGCAGAATTTGGGCATAAGTTTTAGAGTGGGTTCATGGAGAGTGGGAACTTGTGATCTCCTTCGGTCCTGGTTGCGGGAACTACTGGCTGAAAGACAGTGATGTGTCTGCTGGTCTTGTCAAGTTCCAATTTGTTGAAAGAAAGGGAAACCCCAGCTCTGATCAATGGCAGTTGGGGCCATGGAACACGGCATTCCTCCTCCACCCCTGCCCTCTCTGTTAAGAGGGAGTTACAGTTCAACTCATCTGCAGCTGCATTCCTTCCTGAAGATGGCAGGAATCCATTTTAAATCCTATTTAGGATATCATTCTGGTAAGTTTCCAATAAAATTTTTTCTCATCATAATTCATCTTTATTGACTGAGGTGCTCACACCAGGTCTGGAAACGTGGTTTAGCACACAAGGCTTCTTGCTACAGATTACTTCCAAGTTAAGTTGTAGAAAAGCAAAGATGGTACAGATTAAGGTGCAGCACAGGAAAGACTATACAATTTTTTAAAGGTTTAGTAGGATACTGGAAGCACTTCTGTACGTTATGTGGATTAGTTCCTAGCTAGGGACAGTTTGTAAAATATGGTGCTGGTCTTGACCGTTTCTAAAACACTTGGTAAAAGAAGGGTAATGACACATTACCACTCAAACATTCTTACACAAATGAAGACTTGACTTCTTACAAATAATATGGAATCCAAGTGTACTTACATAACATTAAATTTTACCTTGTTCATATTCATGTGCTTAATATTTTCTTAACTTGGAACTTAAGATATCGTTACTGTCGAATGCTAGAAGAAGGCTCTTTCCGGGGTCGGACAGCAGACTTTGTATTTATGTTCCTTTTTGGTGGATTCTTAATGACCGTATCCTTCAACAAATAGAACACATACAGGAAAATGTTAAAGAACACCCTGTTTCTTCCCAAAGCTTGTCATCTGTCTCCCATAATTCACTAGATATTCTGAAGAAACAGATAAAAGTAGAGCTCCAGATTTTAGCTTCAGGGCACTATCATTTGTTTATTACTTTATTTTTCTGAGATGGAGTCTTGCTCTTGTTGCCCAGGCTGGAGTGCAATGGTGCAATCTCAGCTCACTGCAACCTATGCCTCCCAGGTTCAAGCGATTCTCCTGCCTCAGCCTCCCAAGTAACTGGGATTACAGGCATGCACCACCACACTCAGCTAATATTGTATTTTTAGTAGAGACAGGGTTTCTTTTCCATGTCGGTAAGGCTGGTCTCAAACTCCCGACCTCAGAGGATCCTCCCGCCTTGGCCTCCCAAAGTGCTGGGATTATAGGCATGAGCCACCGTACCCAGCCCACCATCATTTATTTTACAGCACATTTTCTGTGACAAGTTTCCAAGCCTAGAGGTTGAACAGGATGAACAAATCAAAGGAGCTTTTAACCCAGGTGGGTTACTATTAAGTGTCTCAGTTATATCATTGCTGCTTGGTGTACTTCACTTTTAAACTAAGTTGGTAAGACATTTACTTGGTGGCTATCAAAACCAATAAATTATTTTTTAGAAAAAGAATTTTCAGGCCGGGTGTGGTGGCTCACGCCTGTAATCCCAGCACTTTGGGAGGCCGAGGTGGGTGGATCACGAGGTAAAGAGATCGAGACCATCCTCGTCAACAAGGTGAAACCCTGTCTCTACTAAAAATACAAAAAATTAGCTGGGCATGGTGGCGCATGCCTGTAATCCCAGCTACTCAGAAGGCTGAGACAGGAGAATTGCCTGAACCCAGGAGGCGGAGGTTGCAGTGAGCCGAGATCGCATCATTGCACTCCAGCCTGTATAACAAGAGCAAAACTCCGTCTCAAAAAAAGAAAAAATTTTCATCTATACAATAGTCTTAGATATGCTACTGTTGGACAAGATGGACTTGTTCCAGCTAGCTTTATTCACCTCTGAAAAGGTGTTAACCATGAGCAAGCTTTAATATAATTACTGACCAAAGAATTAACAGATTTTCCAAAGAGGCAAGAACTTCACGAAAGCAGAGTATTTGTTTGAAGTAGCTGCAATCTCAGTAATTTAGCCTAAGCAGATTTTTGCATGATTGCTCTGGGTAATTATTTTCTGTTTTTTTTTTTTCCTTCTATTCTAAAGATATAACAACTTGACTTTTCCAGCTCAAACGTTTGTTAGAACACAATTGTTAGTCCTCCTGCTCAGTCTTCCCTATTAAACTTTTAATGTTGACATTTTCCTTAATGCTATCTGCTAGCTTTTTGGTTTGTTTGTGAGCTTAGTTTTCTTGGGCCAGGCCTTTACAATAATGCTCGTCTACGTGTGGAGCCGAAGGAACCCCTATGTCCGCATGAACTTCTTCGGCCTTCTCAACTTCCAGGCCCCCTTTCTGCCCTGGGTGCTCATGGGGTTTTCCTTGTTGTTGGGGAACTCGATCATTGTGGACCTTTTGGGTAAGGCTTTTCTCACTATTTTTTAAATTCTTTTACCTGTAAATGTATTTTGTCACTATTTTTCCTGTATATTCTGTTTGGCTTTCATGTATAAGTATTGTAAAAGACTACAATATTCGTTCATTAATAATTATGCTGCCATTCATCCTAAATATAGGCAATTTATGTTGGTAGGTATGCCTGCAATCCAAATTTTCATTGTCTCCCTCATCCTTTATTTCTGCTTGACTTTAGGTATTGCAGTTGGACACATATATTTTTTCTTGGAAGATGTATTTCCTAATCAGCCTGGTGGAATAAGAATTCTGAAAACACCATCTATCTTGTGAGTATTTACATACTCTTACAGGCAAACTAGGATGGGGGTCATGATCTGTGTTTTCTTGGGCTCTCCTAGCTCCTAGTACACATAGTTGAGGTCAGTAACTATTTACAGATTGAGCAAGCTGGCTGCAGTTGAAGAGCACTTGGATTGGGTAGTAACCGACAGTGCCAGGGTTGTGGCCAGAGCAAGGTTAACAGGCTCAGGATATCTTGTTGAGTAACCTGGTAATTGTTGTTCCAGATGACCACTAGAACTTCATGTTCCAGGAGGAGTCTACTGTTTTTATGAAAGCTGCTGTCCACGTTTAGTGAAGTAAGGTAGCAAAATGAGCAAAACTGATGAAAGTTTCTAATGGTGGACTTTCTGACCTGCCAAGCAGGTGGTTGAGATAAGCAGTGAAGCAGAGTGGAAGTAGCTTTGGACTGGAAACCAGGTATAGCTGTCCTACTGACCAGTTGTATAGCAAGTCCCTCCTTTTTTGAACTTCAGTTTCCTGAAATAGAACAATAGAACTTTGATTTCTTTTTTTTTTTTTGGACATGGGGTCTTGCTCTGTCACCTAGGCTGGAGTGCAGTAGAACTTTTGATTTATGAGACCTCTTTCTACTCTGGAATTTGGTGTCCTTGGGAGATACCATATTAAAAAGGGCTCACTTGAGAAATAAAATGTGAGTTTTTGTTATAAAATGTTTGTTGTAGAATATTTAAGCAAGAAAGTAAAATTGTCCATGATCCTGACACTTGGATGTAGCAGGGGCTGCTATTGTTAACTTTTCTTTTTGTATTCTTCAGACTTTGCTATCTGTGTACTTTTTTTTAAATGCTGAGCCAGTCAAGGCTGTTGTGCACTATGATTGCGCCTGTGAATAGCCACTGCTATTCTTTGGCCAGGCCTTTTAAAATAGCCACTGCATTCCAGCCTGGACAACATAACATATGCCTGTAATCCCGGTACTTTGGGAGGTGAAGGCAGACAGATCACTTGAGCTCAGTGCAGTGGTATGATCGTAGCTCACTCTTAACTCAAACCCCTGGGCTCAAGTGACCCTCCCACCTCAGCCTCCCAAGTAGCTGGGACTACAGGTACACACCACCAGGCTCTGCTAATTTAAAAAAAAAATTTTGTGTGTGGAAATGTGGTCTCTCTGTGTTGCTCAGGCTAGTCTTGAACTCCTATCCTCAGGTGATCCTCCTGTCTCTTGGCCTCCCAAAGCATTGGGATTACAGGTGTGAGCCACCACACCCCACTTTTTTTTTTTTTTTTTTTTTTTTTGCAATTGTTTTCTGGCTCAACAAGATATACCAGGCTCATGTTGTGCTCTCCTTGATCCGGTCCTGGAATCAGCTGTTTCTTCAAGGAGCCCTGGTTCCTTTAAAGTGGAGAATGGTATTTAGAAGCCAGGATCTGGGTGCTATATGTGCTCATTGCTATTGAAGTGTTGCTATTCCCAGATCCTCTCAGTGAACAGAGCAGTGGAATTATATCTATGTATGATAATGTATACACATGTATATTTTTAGATCTGTAGATTTTCAAAAACACGGGTTTATGCTATCATTTCTAGTACTACCCCATGGTTCATACTAGCTTTTTTCCTTTCTATTTGTTTCCTCCCATATTTTATTATGAAAATTTCTAAACTTATAGGAAATCAGAAAAAAAATGTGAGCTTCATTTAGGCACCACATAAATTCTGTAATCAATAGTTGCCTGTTCTTTTTTTTTTTTTTTTTTTTTTTTTTTGAGGTGAAGTTTCTCTTTTTGCCCAGGCTGGAGTGCAATGGCGTATTCTTGGCTCACCACAACCTCTGCCTCTCAGGTTCAAGCAATTTTCCTCCAGCCTCCCAAGTAGCTGGGATTACAGACATGTGCTACCATGCTAATTTTGTATTTTTAGTAGAGATGTGGTTTCTCCATGTTACTCAGGCTGGTCTTGAACTCCCTCAGGTGATCTGCTGGCCTTGGCCTTGGCCTTGGCCTCCCAAAGTGCTATGATTACAGGTGTGAGCCACCATGCCCGGCCTGATAGTTCCCTATTCTTTTTGCACACCTATCCCTCCATCTAGCTTTCCTGTCCAAAACATATGTGCCATCATATGTATACTTAATTCCTTGTATACTTTAGTATATATATCATTAACTAGAGTTTGGTAATTATGTGCAACAAAATACACAGATATTTAGTGTGTCAACTAATGAATGTTTATAAATGCACACACGTGTATATATCAAGGCAGAAAATTACCATCAACCAGAAAGTTCCCTGATGTCTTTCCCTGTTAGTCATTGCACCTGTCCCCCAAGAAGCAATCGCTATTCTGATTTTGTCCTCTGTAGATTAGTTTTTCATGTTCTGCAACTTCATGAGTAGAATCGTACAGTGTGTATGTACTCCTTTGTATAAGGTTTTTTTCAGGCAGAGTGCGGTGGCTCATGCCTGTAATCCCAGCACTTCGGGAGGCTAAGGTTGGCGGATCACAAGGTCAGGAGTTTGAGACCAGCCTGACCAATAAAGTGAAACCCTTGTCGCTACTAAAAATACCAAAAAATTAGCCGACTTGGTGTATGCCTGTAATCCCAGCTACTTGGGAGGCAGAGGTTGCAGTGAGCCAAGATCACGCCATTACACTCCAGCCTGGGTGACAGAGCAAGACTCCATCTCAAAAAAAAAAAAAGTCTTTTTTTTAATTCAACATAATGTTTTTGAGACTCATCTATGTTCTTATATGTCTTTTTTTTTTTCTTTTTTTTGAGACGGAGTTTCGCTCTCGTTATCCAGGCTGGAGTGCAATAGTGCGATCTTGGCTCACCGCAACCTCTGCTTCCTGGGTTCAGGCAATTCTCCAGCCTCAGCCTCCTGAATAGCTGGGATTACAGGCACGCGCCACCATGCCCAGCTAATTTTTTGCATTTTTAGTAGAGACTGGGTTTCACCATGTTGACCAGGATGGTCTCAATCTCTTGACCTCGTGATCCACCCACCTCAGCCTCCCAAAGTGCTGGGATTACAGGTGTGAGCCACCGCACCCGGCCTGTTCTTGTATGTTTTTGTAATTTGTTCCTTTTTATTGCTGAGTATTATTTGATTATAAGAATGTACCACTTCTTTCCATCTGCCCTTTCCAATTGTCCTAACCTGATTCTTAATGATTGTTTTTACCTACCTAATTACCCCCATATGTAACCAGTGTTTCATCATAGTCTCCACCTCCCCAGTATGGATGCCTTGTTCATCTCACTCACCCTCAGATTCCCCAGACCAGGCTGTCCTCTTATGGGGATTCACTCCCTGTCCTGCTCAGGCTAACATCTTGTCAGACCACTTCCATGTACGCATGGTCTGATGGGCTCTTGACTCCCTGTACCAGGCTGTGCCCCCACCCCCATCCTGCTAATGTTTGAGCAGTAGAAGGTAGCTCAGTTTTGTTTTTGTTGTTGTTTTTGAAATGCATTCTGGCATTGTCACCCAGGCTTGAGTGCAGTGGCTCAATCTCGGCTCACTGCAACCTCCACCTCCCAGGTTTAAGTGACTCTCCTGCATCAGCCTCCCGAGTAGCTGGGATTACAGGCATGCGCCACAGCTAATTTTGTATTTTTAGTAGAGATGGGGTTTCGCCGTGTTCGTCAGGCTGGTCTTGAACTCCTGACCTCAGGTGATCCAACTGCCTTGGCCTCCCAAAGTGCTGGGATTACAGGTATGAGCCACCATACCCGGCTGGGATCTCAGTTTTTAATCCTTTGATTATTGTGAGAGCCAACATTCTCATGTTTATTGACCACATGGATTTCCTTTTTGAATTGCTTGTTGAATAAAAGAAATAAACAAAAAACAAAATGAATTTCTTGTTCTCTTTGCCCATTTTTTCTATTGGTATGTTTGTTTTCATTGTTAATTTGTAAGAATTTTAAAAACTCATTTTTCAGTATACTTACATCATAGTACTTAAAGAGTCTTTTGGATATTTACTATCCCCTCCTGTGTTCTGCAGTAATTTTTCTTGGGATGCGTTGTTAATTTTTTAAAAATTTTAATTGTGGTAAAATAATACCTAACATAAAATTCACCATCTTAACTAATTTTAAATGTTCAGTGTCATTAAGTGTATTCATACTGTTTTGCTTCCGTCACCACCATCCATAGAACTCTTCATCCTGCAGAACTGAAACTCTCATTAAACAACTCCCCACCCTACCCCAGCTACCACCATTCTATTTCGCTTTTCTGAATTTGACTACTCTTGTTACCTCATAAGTGTAATCACACAGTATTTTTTCTTTTTTGTCTGGCTTATTTCATACTTCATTTAAAATCCTCAAGGTTCATCCATGTTGTACCATGTTTCTGAATTTTCTTCCTTTTTTTGAGACAGTCTTGCTGTATTGCCCAGGCTGGAGTGCAATGGAGCAATCTCAGCTCACTGTAATCTGTGCCTCCCAAGTTTAAGTGATTCTCCTGCCTCAGCCGCCTGTGTAGTAACTGGGATTATAGACATGTGCCAACATGCCAGGCTAATTTTATTTTTGGTGGAGATGAGGGTTTTGCCATGTTTGCCAGGTTGTTCTCGAACTCTTGGCTTCGAGAGATCCACCTGCCTCAGTGTCCCAAAGTGCTGGGATTACAAGTGTGAGTCATTGTGCCCAGCCCATTTCCTTCCTTTTTAAGGCTGAATAACATTGTATTAGACTGGGTGCAGTGATCTCAGCTGAGCCTGAGTGGTACAGCTGTAATACCAGCTACTCGGGAGGCTGAGGCAGGAGAATCACTTGAACCCAGCACTCTAGCCTGGTGACAGAGTGAGATTCCATCTCAAAAAAAAAAAAAAAAATTACATGTACATACCTACCATATTTTGTTCATTCATCTATTGATGGACATGGTGATACCTTGATTATGGGGAGACATTGTAAAATGATAAATATGTGAAAGTCAGGTTACAAAACAGATGTAGTGTGATTTAACTTTTGTAAAATTAGGTCATATAAAAGTTCCTGAAGAAAAACTAAAACATGGACAATAATTACCTCTGGAAATTTAGGACATATTGTTCATCTGTATTTCCTCCTTCTCTATAATTATTATCATTTTGTGGTAAAAACCAGCAAAAGATAAAAACTAATGTAAATGTTAATAATTATAGATGCTCTTACAATATGTTAACTGTTTAATTGGCAGGCAGGTATAATACTTACCTATTGGTGGACCCCTGTGGGAGCTGAACTGACCTTGTATTACCTAGGACCTGAGATGACTCTGGGACCAAATTATATCTGTTGCCTGTCTTTTAGGAAAGCTATTTTTGATACACCAGATGAGGATCCAAATTACAATCCACTACCTGAAGAACGGCCAGGAGGCTTTGCCTGGGGTGAGGGCCAGCGCCTCGGAGGTTAAAGCAGCAGTGCCAATAATGAGACCCAGCTGGGAAGGACTCAGTGATACCCATTGGGATTCTTTTATCCTTGGTTGCAAAAGTGTGGATGCTTTTGACAACCTGGCAGATTTTAACTCCAGAAGCACTTTATGAAATGGTACACTGACTAATGCAGAAGACATTTCCAGCAGTCTGCCAGTGGTTCCTCACTACACTGGTACTGAAAGTGTAATTTCTTGGAGCCAGAAAACTGTAGAAACAAATATCCTGCCATCTGTAACAAGTACATGAGTACTTGATTTTTATGGTAGAAGGCAGGGCTTTTTCCTCCTCTTCTTCATAGATGAGGCCATGGTGTAAATGGAAGTTTCAGAGAGGACAAAATAAAACCGAATTCCATTTTTCTCTCACTGTATTAAAGCTTTTGTGTGTGATCTTTTAAATTATGATGATGTAGCTCTCCTGCATAGATCTGAGTTCAGAACAGTTTTCACGGCTGCTCTTCCTGTGTCTTCACAACTTTTCACTGGATTTCATTTCAGGATTGGAAATATTTGGCTGTTATGCTGTGGTTGTATAAATCTTACTGATTCAGAATGCAAGATTCAGCAGGAAGATTCCATCACCTGGATAAATTGTTCTCTATCTGGGTTTTGCAAAACTTTGTCAGACAACATGGAAAAAAAGGAGGGAGGGTGGTTCTTGTAGCAGTAGGAATTCAGCTGTAGGAAAGTCAGCTGTAGGGAAAAAAAAATCTTTTTAAATAGAGTTGGGGTCTCACTATGTTGCCCAGGCTGGTCTTGAACTCCCAGACTCAAGCAATCCTCCCACCTCAGCCTCCCAAACTGCTGGGATTACAGACATGAGCCACCATGCCCAGCTTTTTTTTCCCTTTTTTGTTAAAAAATTTTTTTGGTTTTATATGAGGTCTTCCTCTTTTACTAAAAAAAAAAAAAAAAAGTTTTTGTTTTTGTTTTTTTTTTAATTAGAGACAGGGTGTCAGATTTTCATTAGATTTGGAAAACAAGTTAGAATATTGACTTTGGAGCCAGATGAACAGATACCAGTTAGGCCTATGTTTCTCCAGGGTCTTCGGCTAGTTAACATTAGTCATTTGCTTCATGAAAATCCAAAAACCTTTTCAGAGCCAAGTACTTGGACTACCTTCCCAATCAGGTAGAAATTAGACAGGGTCCACAGAATTAGATAAATAATGCTGTGGCTCAATAAATACTTGCCCCAAATATTCAGTTTTCCCTGAGTCTCAGCAGGTTTGCATTCACACTGCTTAAGTAACTCACAGACCTGGAAGAGTCTTAA